TTCTGTGTCCTAAAAATGCAAGTTATATTTTCCTTAATGCTGTTTTTTAAAATTAACCTTCTCTTTATTTAAAAAATCTGGTCCTTTTATTTTATTTTATTTTAGCCATGCTGCGTGGCTTGTGAGATCTCAGTTCCCTGACCAGGGATTGAACCCGGGCCATGGCAGTAAAGCCAGGAATCCTAACCACTAGGCAAGCAGGGAACTCCCAAAATCTAGCCCTTTTAAACATTACAAAATTCTATCTAGTTAATATATAAAATTTTCCTTTCATTTATTGATAAGGTTGTTTCTAATTTTTCACAATTATAAATACTGCCACAGTGAACATCCTTATACATGTTTCCTTTTCAATTTTACTAGATATATCAAATTGGTCCCCCAATTTCATATCAGTTTACACTATCACTCCCACCAGCTATGAATGAGCAGACCTGTTTACCCACTGTCTGACAAAAGCTAGATATTTTCAAATTTTTAAAATTTTCCCATAGGATGGGTGAAAGCTTGATCTCATTACAGTTTTAAAATATATATAGTTGTAAGATGTGTGACATCCTGCCAAATTGCCCTTCAGGGAGTTTGTAATCAAATTGTTCTCATCAATCACAAATGTTACCCTTTTTAAAATGTTGACAATTTGATAGAAGAAAATTGGCATCTTTGCTGTTTTATATTATTTCTTGATTATTGTAAAGTAAATGTAAATTTTAGCTCTTACATTTAGGACAATGATTCATTTTGAGTTAATGTTTATGTACAATATGAAAGTGTTTTGGGGTTTTTTTTGGCGTGTGGATACCAATTGTTCCAATACTACCTGCTGAAAAGACTATCATTTACACATTGAATTGCTTTTGCACCTTTGTCAAAAATTAATTGGCCATTAATTAATTAAGTCTATTTCTAGACTCTCCTTGTGTTCCAATGATTCTGATTTCTGTCTATCTCTTCACCAATACCCACTCACTGTTGCTTTAGAGGAAGTCTTAAAATCAAGTGATGTGATTCTCTCCAACTGTACTATTTTTAAAAATTGCTTTAGCTTCTTGGTTTCTTTGCTTTTCCATATAAATTTTACAGTCGGCTTGTCTATATCTACAAAAATTGCTGCTGAGATTTTGATCATAATTGCATTAAACCCACAGACTGATTTGGGAAGAACTGACCTCTTTACTATATTGAGTCTTCCAATCCAAGAACACAGTGTGTCTCCATTTATTTAGGTCATCTCTGACCTCTTTGATCAGGATTTTGTAGTTTTCAGGACATAGATCCTGTATATATTTTGTTAGATTTATACCTAAGTGTTTCACTTGGGAGGAGGGGACTATTGTAAATGATATCTTTAAAAGTTTTGGTTTCCAGTTGTACCTTGCTAACATAGAAATATGACTGGTTTTTGTGTATTGATCTTGTAACCTATGACCTTGCGAAGCTTAAACTCACTTACTAGATCTAGGAGATTTGTAGATTCCTTGGCCAGTCATGTTATCTACAAATAGAGACCATTTTATTTCTTCTAAGCTGTATGTCTTTTTCTTGCCTATTACACTGGCTAAGACTTCCAGTACTATGTTGAGTAAGAGCAGCAAGTGAACATCTTCCCCTTGTTCTTAATCTTAAGAGGAAAGCATTCAGTCTTACGGTAGGTTTTTTGTACAGGCCTTTTGTCAGATTGAGGAAGTTCCCCTTCCATCATGAAAGGATGTTAAATTCCGTTACATGCTTTTTCTGCATCAATTGGCAAGATTCAGGTTCGAATACTGAACCAGCCTAACATTCTCAAGGAAAAAACCTCACTTGATCATGGTGTATTATTCTTTTTTTATATATTGCTATATATTTTGTTGAGGATTTTTTACATCTATGTGCATGAAAGGTATTGGTCTATAGTTGGGTTTTTTTGTTTTGGTTTTGCCTTTTCTTCCAATGTCTTTGCCTGATTTTGTTATCAGGGTGATGATGGCCTCATAAGATGAGTTGGGAAGTAATCCGTCTTCCTCAATTTTATGAAAAGATTATGTAGGATGGGTGTTATTTCTTCTTTAAATGATAAGTAGAATTACCCAGTGAAATCATCTGGGCTTGGAGATTTCCTTCTCAGAAAGTTAACTACAAATCCTTTTTGTTTTTTAATCATTAGAGTCTATTTGGGTTATCTGTTCATCTTGGTTGAGTTTGTTTTTTATTTTATTTATGGTATTTCATGACAGGCACAAGTCTTAGGTCTTTTTATAATTAAACCTATCAATCTCTTCTCTTCTGTTATATCTTTGTGTGCTCAGAGAGTTCTTTCCTCCAATTTTTAACTTCAGTACATTTTATTCCAGTACTGTACTTTCTTCTGGCTAATTTATATTGTTTAGTTTTTTTATTTTTATTTTTTAGTTTTGATGTAAAAAATATTAATCCATCTGGAATTCAGTGGATGCTAGGAGGTGACAATCCAGATTTTCCTTAAAGTTAAAAATTAGTGTCCAAGAAAAGAATAAGGTGGCCTTGGAATCTCCTAACTCTATAATCATAAACTTTTTCTCATAAAAAACAAATTTTACATATTCACAAATAGATTAAATTTCTTAATAACCATAACTAATTTTTTTTGTATTTTTTGTAATAGATCTTTAGTGGAGTGTAATTGCTTCACAATACTGTGTAAGTCTCTGTCATACAACAAAGTGAATCAGCCACACGCACACATACATCCCCACATCCCCTCCCTCCTGAGCCTCCCTCCCACACTCCCCATCTCACCTCTCTAGGTATAGCAAAGCACCGAGCTGATCTCCCTGTGCTATGCTGCTGCTTCCCACTAGCTAACTATTTTACATTTGGTAGTATATATGTGTCGATGCTATTCTCACTTCGCTCCAGCTTCCCCCTCCCCGCCGTGTCCTTCAGTCCACTCTCTATGTCTACATCTTTATTCCTGCCCTGCCACTAGGTTCATCAGAATGAATCCAAAAATTCATTCATGGAATTTTTTTAGATTCCATATATATGTGTTAGCATACGGTATTTGTTTTTCTCTTTGACTTACTTCACTCTGTATGACAGATTCTAGGTCCATCCACCTCACTACAAATAACTCAATTTCATTTCTTTTTATGGCTAATATTCCACTGCATATATGTACCACATCTTCTTTATCCATTCATCTGTCTATGGACATTTAAGTTGGTTCCATGTCCTGGCTATTGTAAATAGTGCTGCAGTGAACACTGTGGTACATGTATCTTTTTGAATTATGGTTTTCTCAGGGTATATGCCCAGTAGTGGGATTGCTGGGTCATATGGTAGTTCTATTTTTAGTTTTTTAAGGAAGCTCCATACTGTTCTCCATAGTGGTTGTATCAATTTACATTCCCACCAATTTTTAAAAAATCAAATATATAGATGGAGCACAAATACTGTGAGTATACACAAGGACATTTTTTAAATGAGCAAGATGATTAGCTAGAAAACACAGAATAAGAAGCTTCAATTAACATTCATGCTAAAGAAAACAATATTCAAAATATCCAAATAACTTCTGAAAACTAAAAAAAAAAGTTTATTTAGTAACATGGGGGAATACAAGAGTGGAAAAAAGTAGGACACAAAACTTTCCCTATAATATCCTCCCTCCCTCTCTCTCTCTCTCTCTCTCTCTCTCTCTCTCTCTCTCTCTCTCTCTCACACACACACACACACACACACACTTTTCCTCTCTCTTTTTCTCATATATGACTGGAAAATAATGTCCACCAAAATGGATTACTTTTATAAGCAGAGAAAATCAACATTTAAAAAATATTTAAGTTACATTCTTTACAAATCCCAAACTCCTCCTGATAAACCACTGAATACATTAGTGTCCATTAAGTGGATGAAGCCAGGTGAGCATGGGACAGTGTCCTCCCTTACCAGTTCCTTTGCGTCTCTCCCAAAGCTACCCACTTTGAAAAGGATGACTCTGCCTAAGGAAGGACTACTGTTGGATGAGTTCATGACTTGGCTTTCCTCTAGAACCCCCAGTACCTCACTTTTGAATAGAAATCAAGAAAATTCTAGCTGCTATAAACATTCTCTCTTATAAGCCAGAGGAAGAGTCCAGGAGGTTGAGTGTGGAGGAAGCCAATGATTATATACATGTCATGAGGCCATGAGCATGGTTCTCATTTGAGGAGAGAAAAGGTGAATTTAACTAGCAGTTTCAAGGGAAGTTTCAAGTACATGATACATATAGTGCCCTAGTCTGTTTCCATTATGATAAACTCAACATTCCTTTGTATGTTTAGTTTTGTTTTCCTCTCTGCATTTGTCAAATTACTTACCTACAATCAAAACACACTTACGGTGGTTTAACCATAAACTCTGAGATACAACCAGCTAGACTAGTTTAAAGGACAAATGACGGCACTGCACCAAAATATCAAAAATTTTCATTTAAAAAGTCCTTTGAGGGTTTCCCTGGTGGCGCAGTGGTTGAGAGTCTGCCTGCCGATGCAGGGGACGCGGGTTCGTGCCCCAGTCCAGGAGGATCCCACATGCCACGGAGCGGCTGGGCCCGTGAGCCATGGCCGCTGAGCCTGCACGTCCGGAGCCTGTGCTCCGCGACAGGAGAGGCCACAGCAGTGAGAGGCCCGCGTACCGCAAAAAAAAAAAAAAAAAAAAAAAAAAAAAAAGTCCTTTGCATTTGCTAAAGACTTAAGTTCAGTTGCCCCTATGGCTTTTTTCCCTGGAGTAGACTTTCTCAGCTCCCTCTTCCCAGTACAGATAGAGGTGAGGGAAGCCTGGTAGGGGAAATGCTGTCTTAAATCAGGTCACACAGCAGATAGGCCCACTGTGAGTCGTTGTTCTCTGTCCAGGTCATTTAAAGCTGAGGAAGGTCTCTTGTGTGGATCTGGAGGAAAATCGATCCCATCCCCTGTTCTGGGAAGCCCAAGCGTCCCTGGCCCTGGGAACTGGGCCTGGGGCCAAACAAGCCCACCTGGCCAGGGCTTCAGCCAACCCACCTACCTGCTGCAAGTACTGGATGGCCTGCTCATGGTTCCTCCTCAGCTGCTTGATCTGAGCAATTTCCTCATAAAGACCAACCAGATTTGATGTCCTATCACCCTTAGCAGCAATAACATTGTCAACTGCCTTTTCAAAGTATGCCAGAGCTAGGTTTAACCTGCGGTTGGCCAAGGAGGCTCTATAAGAAAAGAGACAAGAATGGAAAGTCACAGAGAGGCCACTTGCTTTGCAGATGCAAAAGGAACCAATTCTAAGAACTAAACGATTAGGCCTTCATAGGCCAATCATCTGAGTGGCTGGCTCAAAACCTAGCCTTGTTGTAAACAAACTCCTACTAACCTGCATCTTACCCACCAGATTCCACTGACTACCATTCATCAAACCCATTAATATATCATGCTATAGTCTAATTTGATAAAAAAGCAAAGGGAAAAAATGGCTTCCGGCAGTTCATAACGTGTGATAATTTACCCATAAACAAACACTTTCGAAAACCAAAATAAAATTTTATTACCTCTGGCTGCCTCTCTTTTAGGCCAAAGCAGAGGTTTTCCTTTGTTTGATTTAGTTTAGTTTATTCCTCCTCAGTTAAAAATGAGAGAGGATAGAGAAAACAATGTAAATATCCCCCCACCGAACGGGGATGGTTAAATAAATTATGGCACATCATACAACAAAGTACTTCAGACATTAATCCTGTTTTCTTTTTAGATTAATATGGAGAAAAAATTTTAATGTGCCAAGTTCAAACTACAGTTATAAAACTATACTTAAAATATAATTCTGATAAGACCTTCAAGATGGCAGAGGAGTAAGACGTGGAGATCACCTTCCTCCCCACAAATACATCAGAAATACATCTACATGTGGAAGAACTCCTACAGAACAACTACTGAATGCTGGCAGAAGACCTCAGACCTCCCAAAAGACAATAAACTCCCCACGTACCTGGGTAGGGAAAAAGAAGAAAAAAAAAAAAAACAGAGACAAAAGAATAGGGACGGGACCTGTACCTCTGGGAGGGAGCTGTGAAGGAGGAAAGGTTTCCACACACTAGGAAGTCCCTTCGCGGGTGGAGACTGCGGGTGGCGGAGGGGGGGAGCTTTGGTGCCGCGGAGGAGAGCGGAGCAACAGGGGTGCGGAGGGCAAAGCGGAGAGATTCCCGCACAGAGGATCGGCGCCGACCGGCACTCACCAGCCCGAGAGGCTTGTGTGCTCGCCCGCCTGGGCGAGCGGGGCTGGGAGCTGGGGCTCCGGCTTCGGTCAGAGCGCTGGGAGAGGACTGGGGTTGGCGGCGTGAACACAGCCTGCTGGGGGTTAGTGCGCCACGGCTAGATGGGAGGGAGTCCGGGAAAAAGTCTGGAACTGCCAAAGAGGCAAGAGACCATTGTTTTGGGGTGCACGGGGAGAAGAGATTCAGAGCTCTGCTTAAATGAGTCCAGAGACGGGCGCGAGCCGCGGCTATCAGCGCGGACCCCAGAGACGGGCATGAAACGCTAAAGTTCCTGCTGCTGCCACCAAGAAGCCTGTGTGCAAGCACAGGTCACTCTCCACACCCCGCTTCCGGGGAGCCTGTGCAGCCCGCCACTGCCAGGGTCCCGTAATCCAGGGACAACTACCCCGGGAGAACGCACAGAGCGCCTCAGGCTGGTGCAACGTCACACTGGCCTCTGCTGCCACAGGCTCGCCCCGCATCCGTACCCCTCCCTCACCCCTCCCCCACCGCCTGAGTGAGCCAGAGTCCCCGAATCAGCTGCTCTTTTAACCCCATCCTGTCTGAGCGAAGAACAGACGCCCTCCGGCGACCTACACACAGAGGCGGATCCAAATCCAAAGCTGAACCCCGGGAGCTGTGTGAACACAGAAGAGAAAGGGAAATCTCTCCCAGCAGCCTCAGGAGCAACGGATTAAATCTCCACAGTCAACTTGATGTACCCTGCATCTGTGGAATACCTGAATAGACAACAAATCATCCCAAAATTGACACAGTGGACTTTAGGAGCAACTGTAGACTTGGGGTTTGCTGTATGTGACTGACTGCTTTCTGGTTTTATGTTTATCTTAGTTTACTATTTAGAGTTTATTATCATTGGTAGATATGTTTATTGATTTGGTTGCTCTCTTCCTTACTTTTTTTTACATGTAGATATTTATTTTTTCCTTTTTCTCTTTTTGTGTGTATAGGTATGCTTCTTTGTGTGATTTTGTCTGGATAGCTTTGATTTTACCATTTATCCTAGGGTTCTGTCTGTCCTTTTTGGGGGGGGGGGTTTAGTATAGTTTTTAGCGCTTGTTATGATTGGTGGACTTGTTTTTTGGTTTGGTTGCTCTCTTTCTTTCTTCTTTTTTTAAATTACTTTTTAGGTTTTTTTACTTTTAATATTTTTTTAATTTTTTATTTTATTAACTTTCTTTTTATTTTTTTCTTTCTTTCTTTTTTTCTCCCTCTTCCTCTGAGCTGTTTGGCTGACAGGGTCTTGGTGCACCAGCCAGGTATCAGGCCTGTGCCTCTGAGGTGGGAGAGCCATGTTCAGGACACTGGTCCACCAAAGACCTCCTGGCTCCACATAATATCAAATGGCAAAAGCTCTCCCAGAGATCTCCATCTCAACACTAAGACCCACCTCCACTCAACAACCAGCAAGCTACAGTGCTGGACACCCTATGCCAAAGAACTAGCAAGACAGAAAAACAACCCAACCCATTAGCAGAGAGGCTGCCTAAAATCACAGTAAGGTCACAGACACCCCAAAACACACCACCGGACGCGGTCCTGCCCACCAGAAAGACAATATCCAGCCTCATCCACCAGAACACAGGAACCAGTCCCCTACACCAGGAAGCCTACACAACCCACTGAACCAACCTTAGCCACTGGGGGCAGACACCAAAAACAACAGGAACTACGATCCTGCAACCTGCGGAAAGGAGACACCAAACACAGTAAGATAAGCAAAATGCGAAGACAGAAAAACACACAGCAGATGAAGGAGCAAGGGAAAAACCCAACAGACCAAACAAATGAAGAGGAAATAGGCAGTCTACCTGAAAAACAATTCAGAGTAATGATACTAAAGATGATGCAAAATTGTGAAAATAGAATGGAGAAAATACAAGAAACATTTAACAAGGACCTAGAAGAAACAGAGCAAACAAACAATGATGAACAACACAATAAATGAAATTTAAAATTCTCTAGAAGGAATCAATAGCAGAATAACGGAGGCAGAAGAATGATAAGTGACCTGGAAGATAAACTAGTGGAAATAACTACTGCAGAGCAGAATAAAGAAAAAAGAATGAAAATAATTGAGGACAGTCTTAGAGACCTCTGGGACAACATTAAACGCACCAACATTCGAATTATAGGGGTCTCAGAAGAAGAAGAGAAAAACGAAGAGACTGAGAAATTATTTGAAGAGATGATAGTTGAAAACTTCCCTAATATGGGAAAGGAAACAGTCAATCAAGTCCAGGAAGCACAGAGAGTTCCATACAGGATAAATCCAAGGAGAAACACGCCAAGACACATATTAATCAAATTATCAAAAATTAAACACAAACAAAAAATATGAAAAGCAGCAAGGGAAAAACAACAAATAACATACAAGGGAATCCCCATAAGGTTAACAGCTGATCTTTCAGCAGAAACTCTGCAAGCCAGAAGGGAATGGCAGGACATATTTAAAGTGATAAAAGGGAAAAACCTACAACCAAGATTACTCTACCCAGCAAGGATCTCATTCAGATTTGACGGATAATTAAAACCTTTACAGACAAGCAAAAGCTAAGAGAATTCAGCACCACCAAACCAGCTTTACAACAAATGCTAAAGGAACTTCCCTAGGCAGGAAACACAAGAGAAGGAAAAGACCTACAATAACAAAGAACAAACCCTAAACAATTAAGAAAATGGTCATAGGAACATACAAATCAAGAATTACCTTAAATGTAAATGGATTAAATGCTCCCACCAAAATACACAGGCTGCATGAATCGATACAAACACAAGACCCATATATATGCTGTCTACAAGAGACCCACTTCAGACCTAGGGACACATGCAGACTGAAAGTGAGGGGATGGAAAAAGATATTCCATGCAAATGGGAATCAAAAGAAACCTGGAGTAGCAATTCTCATATCAGACAAAATAGACTTTAAAATAAAAACTATTACAAGAGACAAAGAAGGACACTACATAATAATCAAGGGATCAATCCAAGAAGAGGATATAACAACTGTAAATATTTATGCACCCAACATAGAAGCACCTCAATACATAAGGCAAATGCTAACAGCCATAAAAGGGGAAATCAACAGTAACACAATCATAGTAGGAGACTTTAACACCCCACATTCACCAATAGACAGATGATCCAAATGAAAATAAATAAGGAAACACAAGCTTTAAATGATACATTAAACAAGATGGACTTAATTGATGTTTATAGGACATTCCATCCCAAAACAACAGAATACACATTCTTCTCAAGTGCTCATTGAACATTCTCCAGGATAGATCATATCTTGGGTCACAAATCAAGCCTTGGTAACTTGAAGAAAACTGAAATCATATCAAGTATCTTTTCCGACCACAATGCTATGAGACCAGATATCAATTACAGGAAAAAATCTGTAAAAAATACAAACACATGGAGGCTAAACAATATACTACTTTATAACCAAGAGATCACTGAAGAAACCAGAGGAGATCAAAAAATACCTAGAAACAAAGGACAAAGAAAACACGACGACCCAAAGCATATGGGATGCAGCAAAAGCAGTTCTAAGCAGAAAGTTTATAGCAATACAATCCTACCTCAAGAAACAAGAAACATCTCAAATAAACAACCTAACCTTATACCTAGAGCAATCAGAGGAAGAACAAAAAAACCCCAATGGTAGCAGAAGGAAAGAGATCACAAAGATCAGACCGGAAATAAATGAAAAAGAAATGAAGCAAACAATAGCAAAGATCAATAAAACTAAAGGTTGGTACTTTGAGAAGATAAACAAAATTGATAAACCATTAGCCAGACTCATCAAGAATAAAAGGGAGAAGACTCAAATCAATAGAATTAGAAATGAAAAAGGAGAAGTAACAATGGACACTGAAGAAATACAAAGGATCATGAGAGATTACTACAAGCAACTATATGCCAATAAAATGGACA